AAAATAAATTTTAAAAAAAGAAAGAAAAGCCCACATGATCCGAGGATGTGTTAGCAAAGAGAACAGGACAATCACAACCCAGCATGTGACCTTCCTCTGGACTCCAGCTTAGCAAAGTAGTTATGAGGGGCTCTAGTGCCAGACTGTTTGGGTTTAAATCCCAACTCCACCTCTCGCCAACTGTGTAGACCCGGGCAAGTCATTTGACTTTTCTGGGCTTTCATTTCTTCATGTGTAAAATGGGATTGTTATAGTACTTACCTCCATAGCCTTGTAAAGATCGAATAAATTAATATATGGAAAGACTTGGAATAGTGCCTGGCACATGGTAAGCACGAGTGTTGGCTGTTGTCATTGATGGGGTCCCACGTCCAGTTTGGTTCCTCGGCCCTGTGATTCTGCTGTGTGGCCACTCACAGCCTAGTGCCCGCGCTACCCAGGCTCCAGCTCTGCCCGCCCCTCACACCAGCTCCCCCATCCCCAGGAGATCCTGCTGGGCCGTGGCTTTACCTTTTGGCAGTGGTTCGATGGTGTATTGGACCTCACCAAACGCTGTCTCCGGAGCTACTGGTCAGACCGGTGAGTCCCTGCCCCAGGTGGCCTGAGGAGCTGTGCCTCCAGCTCCCTCTCCACACCCAGTGCCCACTCCCCCATCCTCTCCTTCATCCTGGCCAGGCTGATCATCGGCTTCATCAGCAAACAGTATGTCACTAACCTTCTTCTCAATGAACCCGATGGAACCTTTCTCCTGCGCTTCAGTGACTCAGAGATTGGGGGCATCACCATTGCCCATGTCATCCGGGGTCAGGATGGTGAGGTCACCCCAGCCAGTCCTCTGCCTCTGTGCCTGTGCCCTCTGGGGTTTCTTCTGGGAAGGAAATGTCCTGGCCTTCCTTGATGCCAACAACCCTGATCTTCAGGAAGGTCTTCCTTAGGTCCTGCTTCTGTCTTCTTTCTGTGGTGTAAACTTCCACCTTCTCACTGTGGGCTCCATGGGAAGGGAGCCTACTGGGTCTCCTTCTCTCAGGAGCCGCCCCCCAGGTCCTCTCTCCCTGCTGTGGTGCACTGAGAATGGTGGGGGCTGTTTGTTGGGTGGACATGGGGGAGAATGTCAGGACAGAGGGGACTCAGGGTCTCCTTCCTATCGTAGGCTCCCCACAGATAGAGAACATCCAGCCATTTTCTGCCAAAGACCTGTCCATTCGCTCCCTGGGGGACCGAATCCGGGATCTTGCTCAGCTGAAAAACCTCTACCCCAAGAAACCCAAGGACGAGGCTTTCCGGAGCCACTACAAGCGTGAGCTGGATCTGGCAGCTCTGATTCCTTCCTGACACGCACCTCCTCCCTGCCCCAGATGACCCCTCTCCCTGCCCACTGTGTGTCACCCCTGACTTCTTTCCCCACTTTTGTAGCCCCACTTCTCCTACTGCCCATCAGCCATGCCTGCCTTTTCTACCTCCCTTCTTCCCTAACGCCAGAGCACTCCATGGATCTCCTTTCCTTCCCACAACAGCTGAACAGATGGGTAAGGATGGCAGGGGTTATGTCCCAGCTACCATCAAGATGACTGTGGAAAGGTGAGTGTGGTGGTGTGGATGGTGGTGGGGTCCTGGGCTGGTGCTTACCTGCAAGAAGAAGTGGTGACAGCAACCTGTGGTCAGTCACGTGTGCCTCCTTCTCTCCTCCAGGGACCAGCCACTTCCTACCCTAGAGCCCCAGATGCCTACCATGGTGCCCTCTTACGATCTTGGAATGGCCCCTGACTCCTCCATGAGCATTCAGCTTGGCCCAGATATAGCGTAAGGAGCTCAACAGACAGGAATGGGAGTGGTCTGTGCTGACAGCTCTCAGCATGTGAGAGCTGGCATTGGGGGCTGAGCTGGGAATTTTCCTTTCCAGGAAAGAGATTCCCCTTTCCAAGGCAGGATGTGGGGGTGTCCTGGGGACGGGCTGGCATCAGGGGGTCTGCTTTCTTTCCCCAGGCCCCCAGTATACGCACCACACTCTCACTGCATCCCCTCGTATCAAGGCCTCCCCCAAGAAGAATCGGTCAGTGTGTTGCCAGCCTTCCAGGAGTAAGTCAAAATTTCTTGGGGATAGAGAGTGGATACCATCCCACTCCAAGGGGCCTGGATGGGCACTTGCATTTGTTAGGAGAGGCTCTTGTGTGAGGAAGGTGAGGAAGGGGCAACAAATGCTAACACCCTTTCTTCTTTTTTTCTGTCTATTCTATTTAGTGGGTAGTGGTCCAGACTGCCTGGGTTTGAATTCCAGCTCCACCACTTACTGACTTTGGGCAAGTTACGTAACCTCTGGTGCCTCATCTGTAAAATGGGGCTAATAATGATGATAATAATAATCCCGCCCTCATGGGATTATTGTAAGGTTAAATGAGTTCATAATATGTGTAAAGTGGAGGATAGTGCCTGGCTCATAGCAAAAACTAAGTTTTTGTGTCATATGTCCCTTAACAACAGGAGCACATTCTGAGAAAGCCGTGCTTAGGTGACTTTGTGGTGCAAAACTCTCCTGCCCCTGAAATCCACTGTCACTTATCTGCTGTGTTGATTTTTATTTACTCATCTATTTTGGCCTTGAAGTGGCCTAGACATTTTTCTTCCCCAAGTAATACTTGGATGCTTATTAACTCTTTTTTAACATTTATTTTTAATTTATTTATTATTTTTATGTTTTTAATCCCTGTTCAAGGCAGCTTATTAACTCTTAAGAAGTCAAGGCATATCTCCCCTCCCAGGTGAGGTGGGGGTGAAGACTTGGGGACTTAGAACCACCAGAGTTCGGAGTCCAAAGAAACATAAGAAATTGGCTAATCCAACCCTCTCCACCCCCCATTTTACAGATGGGAAGACTGACCTCAGAGCATAGAACTGGCTTGCCCAAGGCCATGCAGTCATGAGCAGCTAAGTAGTCAGGGTTAGGAGCAGGAGCCTGTTTCCCTCACTCAGTGGTCTTGACTTTGCATCACCCTGCTTTTGCCGTGGGTCCTTTGACTGTGCCCTCATTCCTGCTTCCAGGCCTCATCTGCAGATGCCCCCCAGCCTGAGCCAGATGAGCCTGCCCTTTGACCAGTCACACCCCCAGTGAGTGACAAAGCCCCTCCTGTCTCCATGCTTTCATTCTTGCCTGGCCCTACCCTGTCCCCTCCTTCTTATTTTCTGTTCTGGTTCCTGGCAGGGGCCTGCTGCAATGCCAGCCTCAGAAGCATGCTGTGTCCAGCCCTGAGCCCCTGCTCTGCTCAGATGTGACCATGGCAGAAGACAGCTGCCTGAGCCAGCCGGTGGGAGGGTTTCCTCAGGACACCTGGTGAGTATTGGTCTGGGGGTGGTACCTGGGTAGGGGATGGGGGAATGGGTGTCACGCCTACTCCCCTGCTTCTCCGTCTCCTCGCAGGATTGGTGAAGACATGTTCCCTCACCTGCTGCCTCCCACTGAACAGGACCTCACCAAGCTTCTCCTGGAAGGGCAAGGGGAGTCAGGGGGAGGGTCCTTGGGGGCCCAGCCCCTCCTGCAGCCCTCACCCTATGGGCAATCTGGGATCCCAATGTCCCACCTGGACCTCAGGACCAACCCCAGTTGGTGATCCCAGCTGGAGGAGGAGCCCAGAAAGGCAGCTCTGCTACACCCCATGGACCTGCTCTGGACACCTGCTCATGCTCCTACCAAGCAGCAGGTGGGGAAGATGCCCTCCTGTCCCCGCCTACTCCTTGGTCAGGAAGCAAAGACTGCCAGGAGAATGCACGTGGGTGGAGCCAATCCACTCCTTCCTTCCTACCACACACCGCTGCCCACCTCCACCTCCTTCCAGCACCAGAAGGGAAGTTCAGGCTCCAAAGTGACACATGCCCCAACATGCCTGCAGCCGGAGAACACACACACACACACACACACTGCTCTCCGTGGAAGATGGGGTTGAGCGGCAGAGGGGCTAGGTGGGAGCACAGGTTAGGGCACGGAGGGCTTCTGTGAGCCAGGGCCCAGGACGCATATGTAGAAACATGCAGACATGTTTGCCCTGGAGGCCAGGGATAGAGAGAATTGGGTCCTAGCCCTGGGGGGACCCTGGGTGGGAGGAGAAGAGGGATCTGGATATGTAATTACTGGTAAGAGTTTTGCCCAAATTAAAAAACAAATCCCCAAAAGCCCAAAATTCATGTCAGCTAGATGAAGGTTCTGGTACATGTATGAGGTTGTACAGGACAAAGGCCGAGTTTCTTTGTGTATAGCTGTGTGAAAATGTGTGTACCTGAGACATGTATAGGTGGCACACAAGTTAGTTATACGACTACATAGAACATGTGTCTATCAGCTTTTGCCTATGTGACAACACAATTTGGGAGGATGAGATATTGGACAAAAGACACCAGCGAGTGTGCTAGCCTCTGACACATGCTAACCCAAATGTACTCTCAGTTTTGAGTGTGACTGTGTCCAGGTAGCTCTATGTGGCTATGACATCTGCACATGGCTTAACACCCCCAATGCTGCCTGGGAGAAGGGGGTCAGAGTCCAGGCCCAGCCATGTGGCCCTTGGTGTATTAGGGATCCTGCCAGCTGCATCTCTTCTGTTTCCCCGTCCACTGTCAGCTTCCCTTCACTCCCCATCCCATGCCACCCTTTCTCCCCCTTGAGGAGGGGTCATAGATCCTAAGCCATAAAATAAATTTTATTCCAAAATAACAAAATAAATAATCTACTGTACACAATCTGAAAAGAAAGATGCTCTAACTGCTCAGATAGGTGCTGCAGTCCAGCCCCCTGCTGGGGGAGACCCTGGGTCCAACCCGGGCCTCCCAAGGGAGTTAGGGGCCAGTGAAGGGATCCCACATCCACTGCCCCCCCCCACAGGACAGGAGGGAAAAAACTGCTGAGGACTGGGGGGGAGAGATGGGGATGGAAGGGCAAACTGCAGCACTTGTTAAATTAAAGAAACAAACTAGAAGCACAAAAATGGGGAAGGAGAGGGGAGAAAGATCAAGTCCAGTGTTCCCAGGCCCCCAGTTCTGGGGGGAAATGCTGCCATTTTTAGCTGTTGGACCTTCCCAGGGAAGTCCCACTTTCCCCCATGTCCAAACTGAGTCCAGCTGCTCACGCCACTGATGCAAACCTAGAGAGAATGGGAGTGTGCTGTGTGAGGGAGGGGAGAACCCCAAATGCCCTGGAGGCAGAGTCCTTGCCCCTCACTCTGGGCAGGGGTGAGGGGCACCACGCACCCTCCTTGTGTCCTCTCGCCAGGCCCCTGCTCGGCTTGTTATTGCTTGAAGCCCCATAGTCTTATGCCCATGGAGCAGGTGGGGAGGCAGAAGGGCAGCGGAAGGATCCGGGGTTATGACGAGGGTTCCGGGGACGGAGAGTGTGGGGTGTGTGTGAACCAGAAGTCTGGGGCCCTGGGTCTGAGGACACCAGTCCACCCCTTACTGCCGGCTGGCCTCAGCCTCCACTTTCACGCTGCTCCTGCGACCTTCTACCAGAGCGGGATGGGGTCCTGGAGCAGGGCAGCGGTCCAGTAGCCCTTCCTCGAACTCTGCGGGGGAGAAAAGGGGTCGGTGAGGAGACTGTAAATAGTGGTGGAGGCTGAAGAGAGCAGGGTTTGGGAACAGAAGCAGGGGCAGAGAAAGCTGTGAAGATGAGCTCAAGTTACTGAATTACTGCCTCCTGCCCAGTGCCTGTGTATGGGGGGGGGGGGGTTCCGCACCCAAGCATGTGCAGCCCCTCTCCCCTTTCTGGCTGTATATAGCTGTCTCTGTGTGTGTCTCCTTCTCTGTCTCTCCCGCCTCCGTTCTGCTGGAATTTCTGGTTCTGTCAGGAGCTGCGGGGGCGGTTTGGCTCTGACCTCTCCCCCTTCCCCCTCCCCAGGCTCTGCCACCCCCACTCATCCCTGGCCCCCTCCCAGGCCCAACCCAACCTACCATGGCCCCCCCAAGTTTTCTGGTAGCCAAATCAGGGGGAACACAGGAAGCCAGCCTCCCAGCTCCTCCCTCAAGAAGAGCCCCCCCTTCCAGTCCCCGCCCCCACTTCCCACCCACGCACAGTTTAAAAATACCGAGCCAGGGTTGGTGGCTTTGTCTGCTGCGTCACTCTCAGCCCAGCCGCTGCCCGGCCCTCTGCCGGCCCACTCTCTCTTCCCCCTTCCACACACAAAGCATCCCCCTTTGGGCTCCTCTGCTTCCAAGCTGGGCAACCCCACCCCCACAACTCCTAGCCTGTTCCACCCCCCTGCATTGGTGGAAGTTCTGTCCGAGCTTCCCTTATTGGTGACCCTCCTTCCTGTTCCCCTTCACCCCCATTCTCTGTCCCTGGCTCTCCCCAGCTTCCCCTTCACAGATCTCCATTAGGACCAGACTCTCCCCAGTGGGAACAGCAGGGTCCTCCTCTCCTCGATCCCAGCCCTAGTTGGCTGGAGCCCGACCCTCTACCCTCTCTGGTGACTATAAATAACCCTCTTCCTCCCACCTGGCCCCAGGACACCAGGATTGCTGTGTGGGGCCTGGGTGGCTAGGGTACTTGGGGACAGCACTGCTGGCTGCCTCACCTGCGAGAGGTGGCTTTGCAGGCACACAGGGGCTGAGGCGGCCCACGCGGTCGTGGGAGACGAGGCGGGCGAGCCGCAGCCCCTCGTCCATCAATGTCTGCTGCAGGATGTGGCGGCTCCATAGCCCATGGGCTGGCAATGCCAGAGGCAGGTCAGCAGGGGGCGGCGTCAGCCTTGGGCACGACCCCACAGCTGTGGGCATGGGCACTGGTCAGGCAAGGGGCTGCAGCCAACGGAACCCCCACCCTCAACCACACAGCCAAACCCATAGATCCTTCTGCCCCCATCCAGCCAGGCCTCCCAACCCTGTTCCAGGCAGTTGCCTCTGGGCTTACTCCTCCCACCCTCCACCCCACTCCTCCCCCCAGTGAAGAGAGGTGTTTGGATGTACACTTACCCTGCAAGTGTCCATCTAAACTCTCCCCAGACAGGCTGGCACTGTCTTCCTCCAGGCTGGGACGATATGGGGGTACATAGGACTCAGGGCCTGGGGGAGGCTGCTGGATTTCAGGGTGACTCTGTTCTCCAACCTGTGGAAGCCCCAAATGGGGAAATGAGGATCTGGCAAGGGACAGGGTTGAGAAAGGCTGCCCCACCCCACTACATGTACCCTGGAAAACACACCTCCTGTTTCAGCTTCTTTAGTGGAGGGCCTCCCAATTCTTCAGGATGGAGCCTGCAAAGACAGCGAAGAATGCAAAGGTGAGGCTGAGGAGGGCCACACATGGGCAGGACACAGACTCTGACCAGAAGCATGCGTTACCTAAGCTTTGCAAAGACAATGGTTGGGTAGGAGTTTCCAGCTCAGACACTATCGTTGTGGGGGGCTGGGAGAACCTAAGATGGATGCGGGAGGGACTAGACCTCAGACAAGCTGACTTAGCCAAAGGCAGGACATGCAGGTGAGAGGGAAGCAGGCCTAGAGCCACCTGAGCTGGAGGTTAGGACATAATCCAACTCGTTGGCAGGATTCCAATCTAGGAAGGACCTGGGGAAGGGGTCTCACCTGGAGCCCTTCAAGGAGGACAAGTAGGTGCTCTCTCGGGCTACTTGGCGGGACAGGGAGAAGAGCTCCACTCTCCGCAGTAAGAGTGTGTTGTCCCTCATGCAGAACTGGGCAGCAGCCTCATTGATGGTCAGCTGTGGAGAGAGGACAGCCAGAACAGTCAGAATCCTCGCTCCCCCGCTGCCTCCCCCAGACGTCCTCACACCCCTTCACCACCAGGGAAGTGAGGCCCAACCATTGGAGGTTTGCTTTGGCTTTCACACCATACAAGAGCTTTCTGAGGGAGAAAGACAGAGATCAGCACCCACAGCTTCTGAGGAATGCCCGGGGCCACCTCCACTCCTCTGGGGTCCTGAGTGACATAGAGCTGTATAGCTGGGTCCTCACCTGCATCACTGCCTCCCCCTCGTTGAGGATGGAAGCACTGCAGCAGCTAGGGTTGGGGTATGTGAGAGAGGGGTTCAGGGCCTGAGGTCCTGGTCAAGGGGCAACCAAACAGAGTTGGAGAATGAAGAATTCTCAGAGGTAAGTGGGTGGAGGCCCAGGAGTCAAGGGCAATCCTGAGAGGCCCAGGGTCGGGTCCTCACCTCGTGCAGGCTAAGCTGCTTGCCCTCTCGCCGCTTGGAGTCAAAGCGGCCATAGATGATGCTGTATTTGCGGATCTCCTCTTCCTTCTGGCTGTCATTATCATCCATCTCAAAGATGTGCCCCACACTCCGTGCCAGCTTCTTATTCAGCTTCAGCAGGGATGTGACCTCCCCAGCATCCCCCCTAGGGAAGCTCCGGAAGATCCTCTCCACACTCTCCACCACCATGCGTACCATCTCTGGCTCCAGTCGGTCTGGACCACCTGCAGCCCCACCTGCTGCCAATCCCCCAGCCCCAGTCCCCTCAGAGGCTCCTCCCCCTGCAGGTGGGGAGAAGGGGGGTGAGCCAGCCTCTTCTTCTCCTCCTGCCCCAATGTCCGACTCTGGAGTGCTCCGGCCTGGCCAGATCCGGGGGTCCCCAGCCCCAGGTCCCCCAGGCAGTGGTGACAGCTTCTCTCCAAGTTCAAGGGGACTCTTGGGGCTAAAACTGCGGGCACTGCCTGCCTTTTCCCCTGGGCTGCCATGCCCATTGCTCATGCTCCCTTTCCGGCTACCCGCAGTCTCAGAGATCTTGAAAAGCGGGATGCTGGAGACAGGCACAGCAGGAACTGGTTGACTGAAGAGCCCTGGATTGGTGGCCCACTCTCTCAGTGCCTTCTGCAGACGTCGGACATGGAGGGGCTTGGTGGCCATGCCCACAAGTGCCATGATCTCCAGAAACTCCTCCTCGCCGGCCTCGCACAGCTGCTGCACGTCGTCCCCTCCCTGCTGGATGAAGGTCTCGTAGTAGGAAAGGAGATTAGCACGTTGCAGGACTCGGTACAGCTGTAGCTCCCCCAGTGTCCGAGGCAGGGCCATGGTGCGGGCACTGGGCCTGAGAAGGAAGGGCACAAGAGGGAGGCAGTCAGTGCAAGTCCCCTTGCTGGGTACCAACCCACACTAACAATTGTCCTCCCTTTCCTACCTGCTTCTTTTCCCCTCCCTCATTTGAATGCTCTCCTGCCCAGTGCCAACATCTGAGCACAGATCGTAAGAATCAGGCACTGTTCAGAGGCAATGCCATCCCAGACTAGCCAGAAGCACCAAAAGCTAGTACCCTGTCTCTGCAGGTGCAGGTACTCTTCCAGTCTGGGCTAAGAAGACCTTGAACCCTGAGGCCGACCAGTAAACCTCTGGGATGGCTCGATCTCTCTGTGGCCCAAAACAGTCCTCACCTTCCACCCTAAACACCCAGCAGCCTCAACACTACTTAAAGTGACATCCCACACTAAGGTGAATGAGGACCCCTGTCCTCCCCACAGTAGACACCGGTAGCCATTGCTGGCCAGCTTCACTCCCTGGTGGCATCCTGCCCAGGTGGCTGAGAGGCAGAGGTGTGGCCTTTCCCTGGCCTTCCCCTTCAGTAAGCCAGGTGGATCCCTGCTCCTCTCCCCTCAGCTTTTCCCAAGGATTATGCATTCTCTTATGGCATCCTTGCTCTCCCCCCAGGACCTCTCCTCCCTTCTAGACTGCCCAGTGCCCCTCAGTTGACCCTATCCTAGCAGTGAGATTCCCCAATTGCTCTGTAGGCCTTTAGCTTAGGGGCCCGCGGGA